ACTTCCTTCAACCTTATATACTTAAACATTTCTGATCTCAGACAACCTGCCTATTTTCATTATAGGTTACTAAAAATATTCCAGTATACTTGCAGTAATGCTCCTGTTGGCTTTTTTTGATGGCAGAAGGGGAAGGTTTGTTCTTTCATATGCAGTAATTGAAAATGACTTGTGTGATCTTAGTTGCAAATATGTAGTTTAGTCACCATGAAGTTAATCATTGCATTTTGTCATCCAAAGAAACAAAATACTAAGAAACTTTGACCTGTGATGTGTATTTTGGACACAGAGTATTGTGTATCACAGTATGCAATTACTTGCAAGCCCACTCTGCTTCCCAGAGATAAGGGATCCCTGAGGCATTTTTAAAGTCTTGTAGCTCCATCCCATCTCCAGACAGGACAAAATTTTGGAGAGAAGTTTTAACAAATTGAGACCTCCGACTAGACTGTAGTTTACTGTTTTTTAGGTGATAAGTGGGCCACTTGGTTTGGAAGGAGCTGAGTGTAAGTTGAAACATCTTCTGGACTGTTTTAATTTGCTTTAAGGCTCTGCTGTGGCCAATGCAATGAATGTAAATGTGATTTTTACCCCTATTCCTCTGTTTGTGCTGGATTGGCTGGAAGATTTAGCCTGTAATCTACAGATGCCAGAACTTCTGAGCGTCTGTTTTGAAGTGAACGCAGTTTTGAAAGGATCATTTTCAGTACTGCAAACAGGCCGATGCATTTGGGATATTTTAAGCTGATTTCTGAACATTTAGTGTGACTCCACAAAACACAGATTGTTAAGTACAATAGCACTACTGAGCAGATCTAGACACAGATTAAGTCAGCTCTTATGGTGCTCAGGAATCATCTGCTAAACAAAGTCTACTGCAAAGATAAAACAGTTGAGTTTGCTTTTCAGTTGTGGAACCAACTATTAAGGAGTTATCAAAACAACATATACATTATTAATTTGTGAGCAATTCAGAAAACAATATTCTGGGACTTCTGTTAAAACTTGCAGGCATCTTTCTAATCTCCATTTTTTTCTTCCCCCAAACAAATATTACATTATAAAACCTGCCTGATACTTGATGTCCTGGCTAGACTGCAGAAGTACGTTGCAGGAATTTTGTCCCTGTGGCTGAACTTCAGCAAAACTCTTAGTAAAATGTAAACCCCACAAGCATGTGTTCATTTTGCATCTTCCATTGTCAAAGGGCAGATGAAATGTCAGTAAACAGTATGGAAGAAAGTGTAATAAGCACTCTGCAGTATTATTAACGGTGGTCTGCAGGTTTTGATGAAGTGTGGAGAAGTCTCTGTGGCAAATTCCCCACAGTCTGGAATACAGTCGTATTACTGGAATAAAAGCTGGAACAGAATGTGGTTTGCTTATAACAACACCAGCATCATTTTGATTGTTTTGTTCTTGAAAATATTATGCAGTGAAATATTATGTTTGTTTTTGCTAAATTTTCATTTTAAGGAAAGAGGAGGAAGGTGGCATAATATCAGACTGGTGGGCTAGTTTATATGCGTGGATTTATTACTGTGTGATTGAAGGTAGCAGTGCTATGATGACATTCAACCAAGAGTTCACTGACAACAGGAAAGAAAAATCTTGGAGTTATGAACTCTTGATCAGGCCAGAAAACTGTCCCTCGTTATCTGGAAACTGAGATGTTTTCCACTGACCTGGTGCTAATAGATCTGTCATTACAGTATCTTAGCACCAATTACAGGGGTTGCTGCAAGTATTATTCTTCCATTTCTACTATGTGTATTATTATCTTATATCAGTTGTGGTGTAATCCCCTGTCCTCATGCGTCATCTGGTAAACCATGTGATCTATGTTACGTGGATTAATTGAAGGGAGAAGAAGTCCTGTGAATCAGTGGTAATAGATATTAGCAGATTATAATGTTTTATAGGCTCCTCATTACATAGGCTTTGAAATTAGAGGAAGACTTCCTTCCAAAGGCAGGCTGCCGGGGGGGCAGATGGAGGAGGATCTGCATTTCTTATGAGCTGCCCTACAAAGCTTGCCTCAGGACAGCGTATTTGCTCTTTCTTTTCTTTTATGTTCATGAGATACCTTTCTTCTTTCTTAGAATCTAAATCTGCTTAATTTCTTTTTCTGCTCTATTACTGTTAATTTTTGCCTTTCGGAATAGTTTGAATGTCAAATTTTTAAAGGTAAGACAATGAGAGCCTGGTTCTGATTATGATAAAACTCTTACTGTCGGAGGATACTGGAAGAAAGGAAATAATGTAAAAGAATAATTACACACTGACATGTATCTTAATGTTCCTTTGCTGTAATTGTCATTTTAATTAGAGATGGCATTTTAATTGGCTATTTTAACCAGTTAAACTTGGTTATTAGCATTAGCTATTCCTTTCATTATTGGTAATTCATCTATGCAATCTCCATACTAGATGTTCTCTAATGATATTTTTTGGCTGCTTAGAAAAATCCTTTTCTGTTGCTCTTCCAGTGCGCTTTCTGGTGCGTGTGCTGATGTCTGCAGTGCTTACCATTTACATAAATAGACATGGTACAACTGAAATCACAGATGAATAAGAAAAATGTCTTGATAGCAAATAGCAAATTAGTTATCATTACTGGTATGTTAAGACTTTTAAACACAAACCAGCTTTTTAGTATTATTTACAGCCTGTGTGCCAGGGGTTGTTTTATCTTAGATTCTTTCAGAAATTTTCAGCACAATCTTACAATATTCTACATCACGAAGAAAAGCACAGAGATGGAACAGAAGCGTGAAAAGTGTGCACATTGTAGAGGTTCATGAAACAGATTTTCTTTTCTTTGAAAAAGCAGCCTTGGATTCAGTAGGAAAGCTAGAATCAAAGAAGCCCATCTGGGGCCATGGATAAGGCTTTGAAAATCGAAGTTTAAGACAATTTACTCTAACCAGCTTTAGGCAATTTATCGCTATATTTTGCTCTTTAAGAAGCTGTCAGGTTGTGCCACAGAGGATAGAAGTGTGGGTGAAATGATTGTTTCTATTCTTGAAATGCTTCTTAGGAGCCTTTTGAGAGTTAATTAATATTAGCCTCTTGAAAATTGCCTGGTGAAAAGCGCTGTAGAAATAGAACGTATGGGGAAAAGTTATCATGAAAATAGCAAGCTGTTTTTAAATGTTTGTGCAAGAGAAATTAGGGCTCATCTGAGGTGCCAGATTGACAGCACTGTCTGATCTGTTCCCCACAGAACATATGCACCGTGGGCAGTAGCGAGTCATCCTGTCAGCGCTTCTGCCCTGTCCTAGATGGATGGCCTCCAGCTTGGAGCTTGCCTCTTGGCTCCGCCAAGGCTGCTGGCACGTACCTGCTTCTGCTGTGGAAGCCTTTTGATGTAGGTGGTTGCCTGCTGTGAACAGGATGGCGACTATCTTTCTCCATTTCTTTTTTTATTTGTACCAAGGATGAACATGGTGATCTTTTTAAAAATTACTCTTGAGCTGGACAAGGCATTTGTTAAAGGAAAGAAAGAGCCCACTAATGAAGGTGATGAAATGGGAACTTGAAGGTCGCCATCAGTAATTCCTTCAGCCCTCCATATGGAGATTAAAAAATAAAATAAAATTGTGTTCCCCTGAGCGCAAATGGCTGCTAAGATGGTTCTTAGCCTGATTATAGAATCTGGAAAACAAAGTAGTTTGCTTCTAAAAAACTTCTAAACAAAACTCTGTTTTGTTCTTGAAAATATTATGTGAAGAAATGTCACTACATAATGGAAACAATTTTGGATCGTGCATTATAATGTGTCCCTCCATTTTGACTTTGTTATGCCACTAACATCTGTGACAGACTACAAATACAAGCTTTGCTTGTTGCTGCTATCATTGTGAGGCAGCCAAGGAAATGGCAATTTTTATTCATTTCAACTCATTTCATAAAGGGGCAAGGAGGAAAAGAAATGGTGGAAAAGAGTTATGACACCTTTTCCCTTCACTCTTAGAAAAGAATTAAGCGTGTTAGGGATAAACAAGTGTGTTCATATTGCAGAGGCGACCAATAGACCAAAACCCTACCAGTTTAACCTATTTTTCTTAAATTGCTATTAACCTGATTTTTTTGTTATTATTTTAATTTAAACTTGTGAGCGCTAGTCACTTCTGTGGCTTACAAGGAGAAAGCCTAATATTGTTGTTGGTGATGTTTGGTTGGTGTATTAGGTGAAGTAAAAGCAGCAGCTCAGGTATTGATGTTAGCTCGAGTGTCCAGCACTACACTGTAGAGTTAATGGCATCTTAGGCAGTATAGCTAAGCCTTGAGCAAGTTAATGCTGATCTTCCAGCAATAAAAATCAGTTTCTCCTGACTGTAAATACTGGACTGTAGTTTGAACTGATTCCTGGTGCTGAGCTTCATAGAAATATATAAAATATATATCTGAGCTATGGGAGACTGTTTTTTTTTTTTTTTTGTGAATATTTGTTTACAGGCTAGTGGAGTGTGTCTTACTGCTTTTGAACTTGCTTACCTATGGTTTCTTAAGCTTTTATGGGGCACATAGCCTTTTCCTTGCTTCAGTTATGTTAACCGACCAAGTCATGAATTTTTATGATACTCGTGCAAAATACCATGTTCTGCTTTCTATCGTCTGGGAAGGTTGTGTGTGTGAATGCATAGCTGCTGTGTTAGGCTATCTTACTTTCTGCTCTTATTTTGGAGAAAGCTCATTTAAATCCTTCCGTAACCCCAAATATTTAACAGCTTTCCCTCACTCTTTTCTATTTCCATACTCGAGGGTTCAAAATTAGAGACCCACCTACTGGGGGCTGTGTGTGCTAAATATTCTTGCAGCAAGCTGATGGCCCTCCTTATCTGGCAGGATGATGCTTTACATTCCCCTCCACTGCAGGGGGCTGCCTTGGCGGCTCCCCATCACCTGCTGAGAAAAGGGCAGACTTGGCTCTCCATACAGCAGTATGGGGAATTAGGCAGAGGGCTGCCAGGCTCGTGAAGGCAAACACGCTCGAATTAGAGATGCTCTTGATTTGTATTGCTAGGAAATAGGAGAGAGGTTTCTGTGTGTGAATTTCAGTATCTGAGCAAGCTTGGTAGGCTGCATGGTAATACTTGTCCCTGATGACAGCAGGCATCTAACATTGCCGTGGGTTTAACGCTCTCAGGCAGCTCACTTTCTTCCTGGTATTGGTTTCTGGGAAGGATGAGCTGTCACCACTCTTGATGTGTGTAGAGAACAGAGGTCTCCTGAGATAAGGTTGTTCATTATGCTTCCTGAAGAACCATTAAATTTCAATCAGTGCAATGTGATCCACTCCTTGGATAGGGTAGAGGCATTGTTTTCTGAGCCTTTTCTTCTAGCCTCCACTTCTGTGATATATATTTTTTTAATCTACAATTGGCAAGAATGTAGAAATATGTAAGTAGTAATAGCATAGCATTTTCATGCAGAATCTCACAGTGAAAGGTGAAACAAATTATGCATTTTTACTGCGTTATCTGGTATGTATAAGCCTTTATAAAATGAGACATCATTCATATTGTGCTGCTTGGTATAACTTTGTTGGATTTTGGATGCGGTGGTCTGCTTTAAAGAATACATCAATATTGTGGCAGTATTTCAAAATGTAGTTAGTATTATATGATAATAAATGTGACAGTATTTGGGTTGACATTGTTTAGGCTGATTGATCTTAACAATTAAAAGAAAGTTGGTTTTAGTTAAGCAAAAGCAATTGAAGTAAATTTAAACATTAAGATGTTTTATCTGAGTGCATGCTATATTATAGTAGTAGTCTGATTTATGAGTTTGTCTGAAAAACTGTGGGGCATTGTTATGCATGATAATATTGTGAGTATATTGGCTATATTTTTAAATGAAATAATATTTTCAGAATTACTTCTTTGTTCTTAGGTATTTATGGCTGTAGAAAAATAAAAGGACTGGGTATGTTTTTAGGAGGAGACTTCTGTATTCGTAGACAATTGTGTAATGCAATTAATTGCAGAAAGTTCTTTAGGTAGTTAATGTTTCTTTAATAAATTTTGCAGTACATTTTACAGGATTGTTTCGATCTTTTTTGCCAGTCTGAGCAGCTGGTGAACAAATTAATTAAACATGTGTTTATAATTTCAGAAACCAGATTTTCTTAAAATACATACTCAGCCCAGCTGCTAATCTCTTTCTGGGTTATTTCACACATGCTTTGTGATTAACAGTGTTGCTAATAGCAAATTCAGACTATTCTACAGAGGAGATGCAGATATTATCCAGCTTAACACTGTTCACAGCCCTTATTAGACTTCTGAATGTGTGTTTGATCACGAGAAGAAATTGTCCTTCTTTTGTCAATGCAGACAATCTGCTCGCATTTGTTTATCTTTTGAATGATACATGTCATCTTTGATTGCTAATCATCTCTGCGAGACTGACAATATTTAGATGTAAATTCATTGATGCAAGCAGTGTACATTTGTGGTCTCATTCAGGAGCATGTTTGTGACATAAGTCACGTTTTAATAATTGGGAGGGCAAATTTTATGTCAGCTGTCTTGACAGAGAAAATATGAATTATTTGCATTGTTAATTGCACGTTTCCCTTTTTTATTTAATTATGGCGTGTTTCATACATACTAAGTTAATTTTCTGGCATTTTTCAAAGAGCTAGAATATGTTTGCACAAAAGAGAGAAATATATCCACTGTCACTTTCAGCTTTCAGACTGGGTGAGTTTGAGATCAGTGTTATGTATGCAGCCATTGTGGTGCTAAAAGGGAAATTTATTGGTATTGTTCTCACAGTTCAGCCTCGAGGAAAGGTTGTTAAGGTACTATTTGTGGCTCTGTACACTTTAGTGCTTATATTTTTTAATGTTTTTATAGGCTTAGGGCTAAACCAAAGTAATTTGGCAATATGCATCTTCTATGATTCAGAGAAAGGCTGTTATACGTTTAAGGGAAGATTAAAGCATTATTCCTAGAGTGCTGAAAATTAGCAAAGCCAATGGAGATGCTGAAGTTGCCAGGCTATAGACTGTATAAATGTATTCTTTGAAATCTAAAGCGATGTCCAGATCTTAGTCAGACCTGTGTTGTCTTGGCTTTATGGGCCAGCTAAACTTATCATGATTGTCATGGATGTCTTCAATACTCCTTTTCACAGGGTGAATTTCAGCCTGGAACAATCCTGCATGAAAATAGAAATAGTTGCACTAGCAAGGCAGGAAACAATGTTCTTTTCACAGTACTTTTAGCTTCTAAGAGCTGTGGAAAAAAAAACAAATGATATTTTTCAAGTCTGGCCATATCCTTTTTGGGTACAAGAGTAAGGGAAAGTAATACTTTATAAATAATCCATCCTGTAGTGAAGTTGGATGAAGATGGATGAACAACCAGTGGCAATTCAGTGTTACAGCTCTGCTTTCAGGCTCTGAACAAAATCTGTGGTTTTACACGCTAGCAGAATGTTAAAAAGTGCTTAGAAATTGGAAAGAAAAAAAAATATGTACAAAGGCAGCATAATGTATGTAGTAAATAGCAGAAGATATTACAAGGGGTATAAAAACATTACAGACGGTTCTTTAAGCTTCTGTAATCTGATTGTATGGCAATGAATCTCAGAACATTCAAACAGGATATGTGTTAGAAGACGGCTTGTAGCTAGATCTGCATTAGGAATGGTGTCTGCACAGCTGAATTCATGGGATTGATGCAGTTGTTACTGCTGCTTTTCAGGGACAGGTGTGTGTGTGGCACAAAAGAAAAGATCTTCTCAGTGTCATTTTACAGAAATAGGAAAAGCTAAGGTGACCGTAAAAAGGCCGTCAAAAATTGCTCTGCTTGTTAAGAGGCAAAACAGCTCAAAAGTAATCCCAAAAATCTAAAGAAAATAGTGAAAGTCCTATTTTTTATCTTTATTTTTCACCTTTTCAAAAATCATCATTAATTGTTGTATGTATATGATATATGAACCAAAAACAAAAACTCAAGGATAGGAGTATGTAAGAGTTTTGGCTTTCTATACTGAAAAGGAATCATGTTCTCTTGAGATTCTTGAGATTCTTGAGAGACTGTTCTCTACGTCAGAATTCAACTCTTAAAGAAGATGGGTGATAGAACTTGGTGAAGGGATTGCTGTAGGCAACTTTGCTGTGAAAGGAGCAGTTCTGTAGTTCCCTCTGAGTAGGAGCAACTTGCCGGAGCAACTAAAATCCTCAACTGTGACAAATCAGTAGGGATCAGATGTTCCTGCAGTCAGAGACCCTGCTCTCCTCTTGCAGTTAAGAGTTACAGATAGCTGATAGATTACTCATTTGGAATTATTTGGTGGGACTTCATTGGGCGTATTAGTGGGTTTAGGCTTTTTTTTGTCTTCCTTTTGTACAACTTTCTAACCTTGTGCTTAGGTTGAATTTATAAACTTCTTGTCTTCTGTCCTTTAAGAAGTGTGATCTCTTGGAAAAGATTTCTCTCACCTGACTTCAAACATCAGTCGTTAAAGATATTTCTGCAGACAGTACTAAGAGAGAGGAATTTTTTTGGTACCAATTCATCTGAGCTATTTTGAGCGTGAGGAATTACCTTCTCAAAATGCCTGTTTGTTCCCTCAAATTACAGAGACAGCACTGAGTGACTAGACTTGTGTGTGTTCAAATGAATCCCACCCAAAATGACCTTGCAGGCTCTGGGTACTTTCTTTTTCCTGTTTGTACTTTGACTACCTTACTCTCTTGAGACTTATTTTAGGATATTCAGGGGTGGAGGTGTGCTTTGTTCTATGCAGACACAAAGCCGCATACTTTTGATAGCAACAAACACCTAAAATGTTGTTGGTGGTAATCACATGACAGGGAGTTATTAAAAAAAAATAGGATTATTTCTTATGTATTATCTTAGATTCTTTATAGTTTCAGATTTTCAGTGAAGCCTTGGAATGTGTGTATACTCCTATGTTCCCAGTCCCATGCTATTTTCAGTTAAATCCCTTTTAAACTAACCTTTGTATGGACTTCTACCTTTTGGATGCTCAGATATATTTGACAAAGTGCTCTGACATATTGAAGTGCAGTTGTATATTTGGTATTCTCAATTTGTTTATATATTCGTGTTTAATGGAAGAAACTTGAACATGGATGTAGTCTAAAACTGTGAGAAAAAACTCCATGTATTTTTACATATTGATTAACTGCCTGTATTTGTGAAGAGTCATACAGAAAGCATGAAGAATGTAAAATTCATGTAAATGTAAAACTTATCTCTATACGCCTAGCTTTTAAGAAACTTCCTAGAGCATTCAGATTTATTGGCCTGTTTAATATTCTCCTGTGAAGAACACCTTGAGCTATGTCACTGGGGAATTTAAAGTAATGTCAGAATAAAGCATTGGGATATACGCTGTCAAATTCTATTCTGTACTGGGAGATCAGGAAGTTGACTTACCTAGATGAAGCTAAGTATGAATCTAGGATGTAAAAATATTCTCTATACTGCAGCTGTGGAGAATGGCCTCACCCAGGGCCTCTGGCTGACAGCACCAAGGGAAAAGTGACATCTTGAGGGATGTACCAGGGGAGACTATCCAGTCTCTTCCAGATTGGATTTAAAGAAGATTGTGGTCCTATAATTTTGAAGATAAATAAAATTCTACCATTAAGGGTCATCTTTTTACTTTATAGTTAAGATACAGCAGCTCCTGCTGCTTTATATATATAATGACTTGAATCTATTTCTATAAGTATATGTATTTCCTTTTGTCCTTTTGCATCCCTCCTTCCCTGCCTCTCCTCCCCCCCCCCCCCCCCCCCCCCCCCCCCCCCCCCCCCCCCCCCCCCCCAACATCTCTCTTACCTGCTCAGCTGTCTTTCTCTTCTGCCACCTCTACGAGCTGTTTGTTGGTACAGTCACATATTTGTTTGAATCAGTTCAATTAATTGTGAGATTAGTTTGGCCATGTCTAGAATACTGAAATATAGGCTTAGTGGAGCATAGCTTGCGATCTTTAGTCAGCACCTATATGTAATTTCTTGGGGGTAAGCATCAAGTTCCCTTGGAAAGGCTGCTACTAAACAAATATTGAACAAACAAATTATCCACTTTTGAAGTACCCGTGAAATTATTAGAGGCATGCTCTACAAAGATAGGTGTGCTTTTTTGCTCTATCACTTGCAACAGGCATAAAGTTAAAAATGTTCTGAAGAAGCAGCTAGCTTTGATCCAGTGAAGTTATTTAGCAAGTCATGGTAGCCCAAGAGAGGTTGTGTGGCTTAATGGTAATATTATTAATATTTAAGGATTTAGGTTTATCAAATTTGGGAGCATGTATTCTCATTTTCAGTACGGTGGGGAAGTAAACTTAACCTTTGCATGTAACTGGAAAACTTTCAGTAGGGTATTGCTGTGTATGAGTATATAAATTGCTCAGAACATGAATATATGAAATCTCTCTTGTTTCTTTTACTTGTGACCTAAGAATCAGAGAGAACACGCTTCCTGCTGGACAGTGTTGCCATTCATGAAGTGGTAGCAAAATTTTGAAGTATGTGAAGTATTAAGAAATACCAAATGTGTTAATATCCATAAACCTACTATCTAGGTATTTCCCAAACCTACTGCTTTTTTTCTTCCTGTAAATTTTGTAAAGTGGGCAAAAATAAATGTTTAGTAATTTGCCTGGGATTTCTGGTGTCTTAGCAACATCATTAGAGATGACTAGAAGTCCCAGGAGAATGATCACTGATCACGCGTGCATCTTCTGCATCGTTTTTCAGCATGCAAATCAAAACCTAAAAGCAACAGAAGGGAAGTGTAATCGCTCCCTAAGAAACAAAATTTCAAAGGTATACAGGTCCTACTATTTTCTGTTAGCCTTTCTCTTCCTCATGAATCTCAAATTTTTCTATTTCATTCACTGAAACACTCTCTTCCTGTGAGGAAATACATATAGTTATGCAATTATTTGTAATTTTGGATTAAATTGCATTTTCTTGCTCACTTTCCATGATATGCCTAGAGTATGCTTCCTATCTTCTCCTTTATTTCCAACTCACTGCTGTATTTTCTTTGATCCCAATTAGACTGCACCCTCATCTGTCCCACACTTCCTAGGCTTACCTATGAAGATGTTATGGAAGACAGTGTCAAAAGCCTTAGTGAAGTCAAGCTATGCCACTGGTCTCCTCTCACCTATGCAGCTGATCATGACATCATAGAAGGCTGATGAATATTCATTATTCCTACTGACTCACAGATATTATGTAGAAGTTGCACCATGCTTTTTATGCGAGGAGACATTTTTTATTTTAATGGTACAGAGAAGCATTCAAAACAAATGTGGACAGAAATGCATAAGTATCCCACTGAAAATAGTTTACATAAGTAACTGAAATAACTATTCAATTGGAATTTGGCTAGCGTGCACCTCTACAGAAGTGCTGTAAGACGCACACTGGAGCGTAGTTGTTTTATATATCCCACAAAATGGTTACTTTAGCATCAGGACAGTGCTTGATAGGATAACCAAATTTTATCCAGGTCGGATGCTCAGTCGTGTCCTGGCAGAGTGCTGCACATATAACAAAATTGTCACCTCACATGAAATCTATAGGAGATCATGAAAACTGGACAGAATCTCAAAAATATGCCTTGTGTTTCTTTCTCTCTGATGATCAGTGGCCAAAGAATTGGTTGATGGAAGGGATAAGACATTCCTGTCTGATACTGATTCCAAATCTGAAATAAAATTCACACACAACAACAGCTCTAAATTGTCTTCATAGCTTTAATGCTGTTTGATAGAGTTTGCTATGAAAGACAAAAAGGATTTGAGAAATCCAAAATAAGCTAATTTGACTGTTGTTACAAAACTGTTATCAAATCCAAGTCAACTCCGTTCTGGAATAAGTCTGCAACTGTTGCATGCAAAAACAAGGCAAATAAGACAAGTACAAGTTATAGCAAAGGTTTTTGAGAATATTGGGATCTGTGATGTCTCCAGATACTGCTAAAGGATATTCTCTATTTATTTATTTATTTATTATTTAACTGCACTAGCCGAATCGCTATCTGAACCAGTGTTAACTCAGTAGTCATTCTCAAGTGGAAGTAATGAGCTTCCTCCTTTGCAGAACAGCATTGCAAGAATGTAACTATGAGATTTCTCTTCTAATTCTTCATTTTTTAAAAATCTATTTAGTGTGGACAAATGTGAGAACTACATATTTTATCTTGAATTGTTTAGAGCCAATGCAAGCAATTGTCATTTTGTATTTGCTGATAATGAAGTGACATCGCTGTTGTGTTTGGTGTTGAAGAGAGTTGTGCCTTATGAAGAAATGCAGAGGATAGAATGACACTGCTTACAAAAAAGAAAAAAAAATCACTCTCACATATGCTTAACAAAGGAAGTTAAGTATCATCTCTAAACTTGTCCTTATGTGGTTGCTTTTCATCTGAGTGAACAGGATTGCATTGATTGGGAAGGGCTGCATACACTATGACTTTTTGTACTGTTGTGAATCAGTATATTTGGATCTGGTTTTACTGCTATTGGAACCAGAAGTAATTTTGTATCAGAAAAAAATAAATTTGTAGGCAGGCCTCACTGCTTAGAGATATTTTTTTGGCTCACCAGCTGCCTTCCTAGACGGCTTTTATCTGGTGCAGACAAGCCTTTCCATGGCACTTTTATCATTCATGTTTACAGAGAACAGAGTCTGGCTTTTCATTCTGAATGCTGGCTAAATGCAGGGTTCTTTGGCACTGCTCTCAGATTCTCCAAGAATCAACATAATCATTGTCTCCTGGTAACTCTTTGTGTGCCTGATCTCTATACTTGCATTTAGACCCAGACAGAGTTCCTAAATGATTTCTCCCTTTGGAGAAAGCCCAACAAGAACATTAAGATGCTTTCATTATCAGAGGTAAGTTCTTTGAGGCTGCTATGAAGCTACTGCTATTAATAGGGCCATATGTAGATGCTGTGTTGCCTAAATGTTTCACAGAAGCATGTCAAAGATGAAAGTTACATGTCTGATATACCTGAACTCCACGTCTGCAGTGGAGACTTTTACAAGTCTTTGCATCATTTTGTACCATAGCCTTAAAGTCTGGAGGACACAGGTGCAGAGGACTTCCTACATGAGATTGTGCTCATCTCATGAGAGTCACAGAATCATAACACTCTGACTTGTGTGCTTCCAGCTCTTCTGCCAGGCTGCCAGCCATGGCAATGCTGATGGGCAGGAACTGTGCCTGTCTCATATCTTGCATTCTCTCCAGCTCTGTACTGAGATTTAAAGCTGACATTTGCTTTTGCACCTAAATTAGCTACTGTCGTGTTTGAAAGAGATTGACAGATAAAATGTTTGATTTCTGCTCTATCCCAGCCTCTGACTTTTGCATTTAAGCAGAAGATCCTGAGTATGATGAGTGGACATACCTCTCTTTCCTGGAGCCTCCTTCAACTTGCAAACTGCATTCTCAGATAAACTTCACTTGGGATTTCCGTAATGGCTGTTCATCTGTGTCTACTGCCTAACCTGAAGACTCCCCACTCCTAACACAATCCCTGTGCTTCTCTAAATAGCTATGCTGCTCATCAAGACCTCAGTTCATTTTCTGATTGGAAAGGAACAAGAAAAATGGAAAAAAAAAAAATCCAACCTCAAAAACCAAAAGCAAACCAGCACACATCGTGTTCATTGAGCACCAGTAACTAATAGCTGCATGTAGGGTATTTGATAAGTTATTAACAGAGAAAATGGATATGACTTCCCTCTAAAATGTCCATGGCCCTTTCTATTAGCTTTTCTATTACCCTTTCTATAGCCCTTTCTATTACCCAGACAATAATTATAATAATTTCTGTATTGATATTTCTAGAAATGCTTTAATAAAAACATAACTGTCAAATGCTCTTAAGGATAAATCCTGATCAGTGCAGTTGATAATGCTCAGCCTGCAGCTCTGTAAGTTTATTCTATACACAAACAAGGAAAATAGAAAAAAAAACATAAATTATAGCCCGATTTCATACCTGGACCTGGCTCAAGATCACTGCAATGTAAATTTAATGGCATAGCAAAATTTGAAAATGTCCATGTAGGGATTATGGTAATATCATGGAAAAAGAATAATCTCTGGTGGCTTGCCAATAATGACTGCAGCAATACTGTTTTGTGGTGTGTGATCTACTAAGTAGCCATCAGAACTCACCTCAGGAAGTCAGGGATTTTTAATACATCTGAAGGCCCAATCGATATAAATTTTTCAAGAGCTACCTGTGTTGATAATAAGAATATAGAAGGAATAGCTCTGGCTGTAGCTCAGAAAATTATCTATGGATTTCCCCAGTAATCTGTGAATAACATATGGCTCATTGTGAAGTAAAACAAGTTTTTCCAGGCGTGTTTCATCTGAATTATATCTAACTGAATTACAGCATGGAATAGACATACCTAAACCAGAAGCTTAATCACTCTGAGTTCCTCACATAGCATGTTTCTAAGAGGAGTAATTCAGTAACCCACAGTCAGAAACATTTTTGCAAAATACTTCCCTTATTGTGCTTTTTAATGAGTCTAGGCCTGTGCCTCGCTCGGATGGCTCACTCCCTCACTTTAGGCCTGTGTTTGCAGTGCTACATGCTTGTTCTGCCAGATTATTTTATTAAGAATATTTGCAAATGATTAGAGGTTCTCACCGAATGACTGTTATGTGTCTATTAAGGGAATAGCATTACTAGAAAACTCTTATTATTCTTGTCTTCTGTATTTGTAGATGACTTGTGGTCTATGCTATCTAGCTAGTGATCTGTAGCGTTTCTAGGATTCTGGATATTTTATTCTGTAATTGTGTTAAGTATTAATTAATAATAAATTTTGTGCCAGTGTAATAAAAAAAAAAAACAAAAAAACCCAAAAAACTTGCTAGCCAAGAGCATTTAATTACAGCTGTTTATTTGGAAAAGGCTGGAGACCACTGAACAATATGCTGAATGAAATAAGGAAGAATTGCCATCCTGTGCTTTGCATGTTAAAAGTAATGAGGGCAGTCCAAACAAAGTTATTTGCATTCTGTCCAACTTTGGCTTGAAAACACTATACAGTTCCACAGAATAGCTTAATTGCCTAGTATAGCATAATTGCCAGGCATGGGGAGTAATATAATTTAAGTCTGGTCATGCAATGAACCAGAGAAACTGCTCATTTTTAACAGCTTGGCTTTGACTTATCTGAGCTTTAGAACTATTGCAGTTATAGAACCATATATTGGTGGCTGCAGTGGTACTTTGTGCTTCATATTCCTGCATATTGATGTTATGGACGTGGGATTTTGTGTCTCCAAAACTACACGGGGTGGGGAGGGAGGGGGGGAGTCAGGGGGGCTATGCCTGTGAGTGATCAGCCCTCTTTTTCTAGAGTGCTGCGCTCTCCCTGTGCCTTGGTTTCAGCTCCTGCTCTAGAGGGAGGTGTCCCTGCCTATAGCAGGGGGTTGATCTTAAAGGTCCCTTCCAACTCAAACCATTCTGTGTTTATATAACTTCTATTGCAAATACTGAAGGTTGGTTCAGATCCTCCTGGAAACTGCTTGGTCAGACTTGGTCATCAACCTCATATTTAGGCACCTTGGGGGGAAGAAATCATAGGTTCCAAAATTTGGATTTCTTTCTCTGGAAACAAAGTCCAGCCATCAAGTTTACAGATTTTTGCCCTGAGTATAAATCAATTACATTGGCGTAACACTTGCAACTTAGGTCCAATTAAAAGGCAGTTTAAGCTGATAGTAATACTGGCAATGACTGCACTGAGTTTTAGGTTTATTTAGCTTGTTAAGAGAATATCACCTTTTCAGTGGCTTTTTATTGTAGATAAATTACATGACCTAGTGTGCATTATTCAATCCCCTGTCTACACATTTCTTATTCCATATGCAGTATAGTGAGGACATATTGTGACCTTTATGGCATTCAAAATGAATTGAAATGGCATTCAAGTTAATTTCTGCGTGGACCTCATCTACTCATTTAGTTGAGTTCAACAATTGGTTTCAAATACACTGAAGGCATGAATACTCTATTATTTTACAATTTGAAAATGACAGAAAAGGTACTTCAGTGCTTTCACATATTGTTGCTAATAGAACTTTCTGGCAGCCGTTTCTTGTTTGTAGTGACTTCCTCCCTTCACTCCTCCCCCCCAC